GCTTGCTGCTATTGACCCAAATTACTCTATAAATCCCTACTTATCCCTCAGTCTCAAGTTCTTCAGGCACAGAGAATGAAGGAAGGTAGTCTGTCAGTTCTTCTCTCCCTCAAGAACGTCATCCAGAGAAAGAAGTGGTTGTAATCTTGAACCTTCCTGAGGCTCCTCTAAGGCAATGCTTTCTACCTCACTTTTACAAAGAACAGAGGGATAAGCAGCCATGGTCAAAATTGCAACTTTATCATAATTAAGCTTTGATCAAGCTTTTGCAGCCCTTTCTCTTTCAGGCACTATGGACTGTCATGTTATCCTTCAATTTCTAAAAGTCATCTACTGGGTCATTCTTCTCCGATCTGTTTTCCCTGCCTAACCTTATACAAAAGTTGATTATCTCTTCCTTCCTCTTCCAAATCAAAGATCATCCAATTCAAATTATTGAGGTGTTATTATAAAATGTAGCCATCCAAAGATACGGAATCAACCTAAATACCCATCAGTGGCAGATTGGATAAAGAAAATATGGTGCATATAAACCATGGCATACTGTGCAGCCATAAAAAGCATGAGATCATGTCCTTTGCTGGAACATGGATGGAGCCGGGGGCCATTATCATTAGCAAACTAATGCAGGAAGAGAAAATCAAATACTGCACGTTTTCACTTATAAGTGGGAGCTAAATGATAAGAACACACAGATAAAAAGAGGAGAACAACAAACACTGGGCCTACTTGTGCCTGGAGGGTGGGAGGAGGGAGAGGACCAGAAAAAATAGCTATTGGGTACTAGGTTGAGTACCTAGGTGATGAAATAATCTGTACAACAAACCCCTGTGACACAAGTTTCCTAAACCTAAAAGTTAAAGTCAGATAAAATAAAATAAAAAATAAAATACATCTATCAATTGAAGTTTCATTTAGTTTGGATTGTCAAAAAAAAAAAAAAAGGCAAGATGAGATATGAACATTGTCACTTTTTTTTGGAGAAACAGTCATTTATTACTGACTGTCCCTGTAACAGAAATCGGGGACATTTCTCAGAGGTAATAGTACAAAAATATTGTAAGGATGAACTGAGAAAACTGGGACGTACTGTAAGAGTCATAATAATCATTACTTATCAGTCTATTCGCATACAGTTTGCATGCTACATAGTTTGCATGATTCTTTATTCATCTCTTTTATCTCAACTACTGACTTGACATAATTTTTTGGCCCATAAATGGAGAGTTATTTGACCCACCTAATAAGTGATTTAGAAAAATCATAGAACCACAGTTATCAGCATCCTTACAGCCAGTTTTAATGTCATGAAACACTGTTTCAGCCAGATTATTTGTGAGGTGGGTCACCATTTGTTATACGTAGGAGTTTAAGTATCAAAATTTGAAAATTATTTTTAAAAAATAAGCAGATGCAATACCTTTGCACTCAGATAATAATATATTATTGAATATGTGCTTCTTTGAGTCACAGAAAAAGGCTCAGTTCCTAGCTACTAAGCAGAGAATTGTATGTAAACTTCAGGCTATCTCGTCTGTGACTAAACTGCTAATAGTATTTCCATGAGAGTTTATCTTTCACATGAATAACATTTAAAATGAATGTGTCATGTGTTGTGGAAAAGGGTTTTGAACTTCTACGCTTGAAGAGAGCAAGCAGCATGACAATCTCTAGGTTTGTCTCATATGGGCTATGTAGATACCAAACAGCTATTCCTAAGACAGACCTCACTGACACTGCACACTGCTCGAGTGCTGAATCACCCATAAGCACAAGGCAGAAGCAAAAACAAACCTACTCTAAAGCAATATACTGATGCCTGAAACCTCAAACTACTTACAAGTGCTTTTTTTTTTTTCAACTACAATTTCGAGTAGTCCAAGTTTAAAATGCTCACATGGAAATTAGATAACATAAGTATCTACAAAAGATAAGTAACCATCAAAGCAAAGCCACAGTAGAAATTATCAGACACAGACCATAAGGCATTCATGTTTATTATGTTAAGTAATAAACATAAGCTTGAGAATTTTGGCAAAGGTACTGGAAACTGAAAATATTGTAGTATGTATGAAAAGAAACCAAATAAAAATTCTGGAACAAAAAAGTTACAGTAATCAAAGAACACAATGGATGACCAGACGGCAGAAAAAAGAATTGGAAAATTGAATAATACATTAAAATAACTATCCACAGTGAAGCATGAAAGGACAAGAGATGAAAATACAGATAAAAGGATAAGAGACATGGAAGACCAAACAGAAATGTTAGTGGCTGAGAATATTCTACAACTGGCGAAAGAAACCAATCTCTATTTAAGCAATCCAATGGTTTCGTACTAGGATCTATAAAAATAAATTTTTATCTAGATGTATCTTTGTGAAACTACAGAAAGCCAAAGACTCAAGTTAAAAGATAAAGATCAAACACTAGACTGGATTTTAAAATGTTCAACAGCGTGATGTTTACAAAGGCCACATAAGGATAAAAGAAAGTTGAAACCAAAAGGTTAGAAATTATGTAATATGTAAATGCTAACCAAATACAAAAGCTAATAGTAATATCAAATAAATTTTATGGCAAAAATAATTCTTTGCTTCATAACAATCAAAGCTTTAGTTTACTAGTAATGGATAGCAGCTTTAAATATATAGATAGGATGCTGAAGAAATAGACAAATACCAATCACAGCCTGATATCATTTAACATACCTTTTCTCAGTAATTGACAAAACAAGCATACCAAAAGTTAGTGAGAATACAAAGGTTTTGAACACATGGTTAATAAACTTGACCTAATGGATAGGTATAGGAAAATATATAGCGTAATTTCAGAATATATATATATATATATTTCAAGTACACACAAAGCATTTACACAGATTTTTCATTTGCTGGCCATACAATGAGTCTTAACCAGTTTCACATGTTTGAAAATCTGTAGTACATATTAGCTGTCTTCACTGGAATTTTGCTAAAAAGCAATAACGATAAGATAACTGGGATATCTCATGCATTTGGAACTTAAGAAATAAACCTCTATTTCACCCTGTACTGGAGGTACTAGCCAGCATGAAAGGGAATCATTCAATTAGTCAGTAGAGGGGGGGAGAGAGAGAGAGAGAGAGAGAGAGAGAGAGAGAGAGAGAGAGAGAGAAACTACCATAATTGTGGTGAAGAGAAAAATCTATCATTCATCCAGTCAATAGGAAAGAAAGATGGATGAAAGGAAAGAAGGAAGGAAGGAAGGAAGAAGGAGCTTTAATTCCAGCTGCTTGGGAGGCTGAGGCAGGAGAGTCACTTGAACCCAGGAGGCAGAAGTTGCAGTAAGCCGAGATGGAGCCACTGTGCGCTCCAGCCTGGGTGATAGAGCAAGACTCCATCTCAAAAAAAAAAAAAAAAAAAAGAAAGAAAAGAAAAGAAAGCATAAACAGCATATATGAATCCTAGAGATACTCATACATATGTACACAACATTGTATACACAAGAGTGTTTATGGCAACACCATTATTCATATTAAAAATTTGGAAACACCCCAAACATTGATCGACAGTAGAATGGATAAATAGTATATGGCGATAAAAATGAATGAACTAGAAAAACATGCAATAACACAAATGAATCTTACAAAATATAATACTGAGAAAAAGAAGCAAGTTGCAAAAAAAATAAATAGTATAAGTTCGTTTATAGGAAAGTTCAAAAAAGGGATGTATCTATGATGGTACAGTTATAAATAAAAGCAAAGAAAGTTGGTATGGCAGTTACCTCTATGAAGGAGGGATGATTAACAAGGGCACCTAGACTTCTGGGATTCTGGCAATGGTCTCTGGACCTAAATGGTAGCAACATGGATGCTTGCTTCACAGTAACTTTACTGTTCATTTGTGTTATCGTTCATAATTTTTCAAAGATGTTTTTTAACAATGCAGTTCTTTACATATTGCTATTGAAGACGTCTCAAGCTATATGTCACAAAGTAAAAAATACGGTGTGGAACAAGTTTTAAAATGTATGTTTAAAAAGAAAGGAAGGAAGGGAAAGAGTGAGAGAAAGAGAGAGAGAAAAGGAGAGAGAGAGAAGATAGAACACAAGGAGAGAACGAGAAAGACATAACGAACTTGTAGAAGAATAGTGGTAACCCACACACCAAAACAGTTGTCGTTGGGCAGCAGAAATAGGTGGCCAAGGATCAAGGTTAGAAGGATCACTGTTCACGGTCTACTCTCGTGTCTTTTAAATTTTCATACCATGTTAATCTATCACCTACTCAAAATAAATGAAATACCTAATCACACTTATCCACAAGGGGTCGCTATTGAATGCCATTTAACTCTAGTTCCTAACCAGAGGGAAAAATGTTCTGAATTCTTTATGAGCTTAACGGGAAGTGAAGAAACATGATCATTTATGTTCTTATTTTATATTACACCACATCATGTTCCAGAAAAAAAAAATTGTGATTCGGAATGAATTTAGAGAAGCACTGTGTCAATCATCTCCCCTAGTGGTAATGTGCGAATTAGATTCTAAATTTTCTAGCATCTGGGCTGAAAAAAGAAAAAAGGGAAGTACGGTCAGTTACACAATTCAAAATGTTGATCAGGAGAATATTAAGGCCTTGCAAAAAAATGTCCCTGGTAGAGCCTGTTAAAGACAATCCTTGAGGACCCTTTAGATGAAATTCTTGATTGGTCTTAGTAACAAAAATGATCCACAGATGAATTATGGAACCATGTCATCTTACTCTCTAAGGGAGGTATAAGATAGTTTTGGACTTCAGATGAGAAAGGCTCCATTCATGGTTAATCATGAATGAAAATGAAACTAAGAATATATACTGTAGAAAAAGAAGAAGAAAAGCCATTAGACTGCTTAAAAAGTTCCGTGTCTTACACAGAAGATAGAAAAGATATAATGTCTCCAATCTGATGGATCTTTTTAAAATTTGGTTATTCTAATGAATTTATTTTTTCTTAGAGCTGAGCTGATTGTACTTTGGCCGACTAAAGGGTTAATGTTTTCAAGGGAAATTAGCCCTGACTAAACATTGCTGCTGGCTCATAAATACACTGGGCTTTGGATGGCATAAAAACTAAGAGAAATCAGTGTGTAGGAGAGACACAAGTAAGTGTCCCTCAGTGACAGAGGCAACAATAATTGTGAAAAACACTTCAGCAATTATGGACTCGTCTGATGTTCGAAGGAAGAAAGTAGCTGTCATTGGTGGTGGCTTGGTAAGAATTTTCGGATGCATTATTACTGTTGGTGCTGTTATATTAACTGTTATTACTCATAATGATTACTATTCATCACTTAAGTACAGCTATTTTGTTTATTTTTGTTTTTTATTGTTTATCTTCATAGGTTTAAATATGGTATGAGTTTTAATTTGTTTTCTCTTTCAGGAAAAGTATTTTATGGCCCTTAAATATGAAGGTTTCTGTATTCCCTTATCCCTTTTGGCTTAGGATTTCTTGAAAAGCAAAAATAATGCAAATTGAATTTGATTTTATCCCCAAATTGGCGATGTTTTTATGAACAGGTATTTGTCTTAATATTCATTTCAATAAAAACATTTGTCCCGCTTTGTTTAATAACTCAGTTAATGCTGTCCTAATGGGAATAAAAGGGTCAAGAAATATGTAGCTAGTGTTTAATTATCGTGTTGAATGTTCACTAGTTATATGAGTAATTGGGAATAAGATTTATGTGGTCGCCTGACTTACGTGACTCTTCCAAAGGAGCACCAAAGGTCGTGGAGTGAGGTGTCCACCTCTCACTGGGCAAGTAACAAAAAAGTGCTCAGACTTGCCCCACACCTAGCAAGACAGAAGGAGAGGTCACTCTCTGCTTTCATAATTATGGTGCCAAAGGTAGTTCTGTTTAAAATGGATCTGCTTCGATTGAACTTTGCTGTTCCCCCCTCTCAGCAGAATTTCTGTCATAGAATGAAAACATCCCAATTAGTCAAGGTTAAGTAATTTCACTTTTATCTTTGGTCAAATCATGTAGAGACTTTTCATTCATTCATTTATTCACTCAACAAAAAAATGTATTGAGGGCCTAACACTGTTATAGGCTGTCTGCACATGGTATATTTTATGCCACACATGTATTTATATAGTATATGCTAACTGTCTTTTCCCCAAAGTACTAGAACAGTTCTTTTAACATTTCTGATTCTAAATTTTAATTTATTAATGCTATCACATGATGTGTTGGTCACTGGATGGGACACAGTTTGTCATCACCTCATACTATGCCTGTGTCCAATTCTGTCCTATCAAAATGTTGCACAAAGTGGGAAATCATATATTCAACAAAATCTTATTACTTAGTGTGTGCCAATACTGTTCTAGGTAGTAGGGATGCAAGGGTGAGAATTCCAGAGAAGAAAAAGGCAAAGAAGAAGAAGACAAATAAGATAATTTCAGTTAAAGAGAAGCACTATAAAAGAAAAGCAAACAGAATAATGCTGCAGAGAGTATCTTTGAGAGTACCTGTTTTAGAGTGTGGTCAGGGACAGCTGCTCTGCTGAAGGGCTATATGACCAGAGATCTGAATGATCAGCTAGAACTAACTATGTGAAGATCTTGAGAAAGAGTATTTCAGACAGAGGAAACAGCAGGAAGAGAAACCCTGGGGCAATAATCAGCGGTACACGTTCAAGGAGCAGAAAGAAAGGCAGGAACAGAATGAGGCCAGAGAAGAGTAGCTGATGAGGCCAGAGAAGCTGACAGAGCCAGATCTTGTAGGATCTTAGAGGTCCAGGCAAGAAGACAAGATTTTGTTCAAATTACAATGGGAAGCCATCAGAGGATTTTAGGCAGGAAAGCAAGTTGTGATTTTAAAAGGTCCCTTGGACCATTATGTGGAGAATGACTAAGAAAATTTTAAGAAGACAAGATAGGCCAGTTAGGAGGCCGTTACGTTAGTTCAAGACTTGACTAAGGTGGCAGCAGTAATGTCTCATTTTAAACATTGTCTCTTAGAAATCCAAGGGGAGATAACAAATACGTGATTGGATATGTGGTTTTGGGAGGCATAAAAATATGAGTGTCATCCATGGACTTCTCTCTGAATAACACAAGATCTTTATCATGTAACCACTTCATACATATGCTGGAAAATAGGAGGCAAAAATTACTACATGTGTATTAGGAAGCAACTAAAATTCCTCTGCAAAAGAATTCTATCCATCCTATTGCTCAGGTCCATGCTTAGGTATCATGTTTGATTTCTTTTTCATTTTATGCAAACACTTATTCTTCTTTCACTCCATCAGTAAGCCTTGTTGGCTCTATATCCAAAATACATTTAAATTCTGGCCATTGCAACCATCCTAGCCCAAGCCATTATCATGCCCCATCCATATTCCTGCAACAAACTCCAAATTAGTCTCCCAGCTTTAACTCCTATTCTGTTATAGTTCGTACTACACACGACAACCAGAAATACCCTTTTAAAACACAAGTCTAATCATTATCACTCCCTGCTTAAAACCTTCCAATGATCTCCCATTACAAATAAAATAAAATCTAAACTCTTTATCAAAGGTCCTGTCTGAACTGAGCCTGTCTGCCTATCTGGCTTCACCTCTTTCCCATATTGTGTTTTGTTTTTTAAACTTATCTACAAGTATCTAAAATTACGCACCTTGGGTTTTTTTAAACCCGTTTCTTAAGTATCTACTTCAACTAGGATATAAACTCTTATTAACCAATGTATTCCAGAGGCTGGAATTATGCCTAACATTATGTATTGGATGGATGAATAAATGAGAGGAATGAGAAAACTTCAGGATATAAAGGTGAAAAAAAGGATGCATGTTTGAGTATTGAGAAAATTATTTTTAAAAGTATTGCTTAAATAGAGCAATTCAAGAAGGTTAATGTCTTTACATAGAGGACAAGATTATATTTTTGCCCATCTTTTTCTTTGTGTTTTTCATTTCCTCCTCTCCATAAACCATATCCCAGTACCTTATACTGTCTAACACATCAAAGATTCTCCCCTGGCCCTAGAAAAAAAAAGTAAGAGTTGAGAACCTTTACTTACACATCCAAAAACTACAGTGAACTTCCCTCAATTCTTATCCGGGTAGCTTACCATGTCTAGTAACCTTGCTTAATGAAAAGTCACCCTGAGAATGTGTTCTTGCTCCGATGTAGTGATCATCTGATCTTGGTTTAAGCCAACTGATTTCCTTTCTTTGAAGACATGTTCAGTCAAAGAGATCAATAAACTAGCAAAGGAACTCATACTGAGGAGAAACGAAAGGTGAAAGAAACTAAAACGTAATCATAAACCAGGTAAAGTTTAAACATTGAAAAAGAGTGGGAAAGATGTTAAAATAGCATTTCAAGAACATTCACCTAAATATTTAGAAAAACCACTGTATTCCTCCTTGTGTGAATTACAACCCCCCTATTCCTTCTCCAGCCAATGGGTTTACCTCCTACTAGTTCTGGAAGGTAACTGCAGGAGAATCAACCTGTAAAGACTTCTCCTCTCTTTAAAAGCCCACAGGGCTTTGTTTGCCATTATGAAATACTGCCTTTTATTAAAATTTTGTTACGCGTAGTTTATTCCCATAGAAGCGTTTTACTTTATAGATCTGAAGATTAGTTTATCTTTGGCTCCTGCTACCTTTGTAAAGGTTTCCCAGTGCTTTATACTGTGAACCACACTAAAATATTTTCTGTGCATGAGTTTGATTTCAGAACAAAGTGGAGAATCTCTCTTTTAGAAGTTATGGGAAATTTTTAAAATTTTTGTTTAATCACAATTATGTCATAAGGAATGTAGTCCTTTCAGAGAGTAACTTAAAAAAGGACTTGGAAAATATCTCAATTTTGCAGGCTGGAAGGAATATAAAAGCTATAGGTATTGTTTTTCAATTCTAGCATGTTAGTTCAAGAAAAATCTACATTACAAAAAACTGCCACACAAACTGCCTTACTTCATGTTAGAGTGACATGTTTTCTTTCCTTTATGAAGTTGGAGAGAAGTAGACAGCCAGAGAAGGAAACAAAGCCATCTAACGTAAACAGGTGCCCTTAATCCATGCCTGAATTCAGTCCTTGAGATTCAAAAAATACTGTTTGTGATAACTATTTTCAGTGTTTGCAGGTATGATGAAAGGGATCAGTGCAAAAAAGCACCACTTCAGTGACAGCTAAAGCTACTCAAGAGCTCGTTTTTTTTTGACTGAAGCCAAGAGCCTTGGCTGAGAAGACTATGAAGCATTCCCATCTCAGCTGTCTCGTGCTGCTGCAGTGCATGTCCACTGTTCTAGCATATTGTTTATGATATCATTCAAATATTTCTTCTGTTCCCTTCTGTTAAAAAAAAAAAAAAAAAAAACACTATAGAGGCTTTTGTGATCCACTCTCCTATGCATTGACCCAGCAAAATTCTCCATATTTAGAGGGTGAGGAGATTGGTACATGTTTCAACTTGTTGTTGATAATGGTGCCCTGCCCCGCCCCACCCCCGAATTCAAGTCAAGTTAGTGGCCCCTGATGATGAAATTGCCTTTGAGGCAACTTGACTTTGGCTCTATGAGAGTTTATGTCTCACAGCTATAGATGTTAGATCCTGTCATAGATTTATAGGCTCAAAATGGTTTTGATGCCAAACTGGCCCTGAATGGTGTTTCCGTTCTGTTCTCCTGAAGATTTTTCCACCTTACCACTTACTCTTCGCTCGGCTTCATAGGGTGGAATCAGTGTTATTCAGTGAGCAGACTGGGAATAGCAGTTTGCAACCAGCTGGACGCTCGGGAAATCTTACCCTATGGGTCTCAGTTTCTTCGTCTTGGGCTAAAACTAGATTGCTAGTCTTTTAACGCTAAAATTGCACTGCTTCTTTTTCACACTTTCTCACTCGCGGATCTCTAGCTTTGTTCTCAACCTACTCCTTTCTAAAAGCAGAAATCAAATGTCACCCAGAATTTTCACTTTCCCCAAAGTAAACATCCTCAGCACATATGAACCATCAAATGGCTTATAATCCTGGGTTGAGGTCTGCATATAATTTGATTCAAGTCCACACTTTTTATTTTTTGCAAATATTAATGAGATATACCATGAAAAAGACCTAATTACTGTTAACCTTTATTGTTATTATTTTATTAATATGAAAATAAAGTAAGCTGTATTCTCTCTACTCTTGTTTGAATACCAAACCAGGCTTATCCTGCCCATTGTACAGTCAGTCAGTTACTGAGATG